TTTTTTTTTTTTTTTTTTGGTACGGGGGATTGAACTTGGGTCCTTGTGCTTGCGAGGCAGGCAGCGGAACCACTGAGCCAAATCCCTGGCCCTGGGATGGTTTATTTTGACTCACAGTTTAGGAGGTTTCAGTCACGATGAGGAGACTCCATTGCCTTTTGTCCTGCAGCAAAACAAGGTGCCACAGCAGGGAGGCTGCTCACCTCATGGCACCTGGGAAGCAAAAAGAGAGAGGAGGAAAGGGGCTGGGACCCCAATGGTTCCTTTAAGGCACACCTCCAAGGACCTGAGACTTCCCATGAGGCCCACCTCTTAAAGGTTTCCACAAATTCCCAGTATCACCAAGCTTGAACCAAGCCTTTAACTCATGGCCCTTCAGGAGACATTCCAGATCTAAACCATAGATTGCTCACCATAGCTCCCCTGTGCTGGCTACTGTTACGGATTTCGCTGACAGTGAGGGGCTTTGTGCTGGAAGGGTTGGAACGGCACAGGAAGACCACAATCGCTGCAGTAGCTGCATCTGCAAGAAGTGGTCTGAGCAACTGTTTTCAGCCATGAGCTGTGGTCCTCCACCTGGCCCTGTCTGCAGCCTCTGGCTTTCCCTCCCTTCACAGCTGTCTGTGTCAGGACCCAACAGCTGGAACACAGAGAATAAAAAAGGGCACAGTTTGCTGACCTCAAGCCTGCCAGGCTCAGCTGGGCCAAAAGGCCAGGGAAACTAGCTCAGGGCTTACTCAGCAGGAAGGCTCTGGGCATCAGGCAGAAGGCCTGTAGCCCAGGAGCAGAACGAGTTCCTGTGCAGATGAGCACAGCCTTCTTTCTCCATTTTTGCTCCCCACCCAGGTCACAAGGACATTAATGATCACCTATGTGCCCACGGACATCCAGGACCCGGAGATGGTCATCAAGCACTTCCAGTAAGTGATGCAGGCAGGCTTAGGTGTGCATCCCCGTGTCCTGATTACCACCCCTGGCCCTCATGTGGTTTTGAACTGGCCCAGGATGGTGGGGCTAGGAACACCCCTGTGCCCTCCCTGGACTCAGCTCAGTATTGGCTTTTCAGATGGGGTGGGCCACTGTGGCTGGAGCAGGGTTCTGGATTTAGGGACGTCTGGCATAGCAGGGGTGTGAGGCTCCAGCTTCCGAGCTCAGGGAGCCCCTGCACCATGGCTGTCTAGGGCCCAGCATCTTGAGACGTCTTCAGTGACCCCACGCTCCTGGCCTAAAGGAGACTGTCCACTGAGCTTATCACCTCTCTGTGAGCAGCTCTCTCCTGGATCCCTACTGGTTGGAACTCATCTTTGGCCCCGTTCTCAGTCATCTAGGGAGGATGCAGCAACTCAGATTACCAGGGTCCAAACCCTGAAGGTAGCTCAGCCTTCAGAGCAAGCTCCAAGGCAGCCCCAGGCAGCCGCACCACCCAGTGCCCTGGGCTATCCTCCTGGGGAGGGGTGAGCAGCACATCCCCAGCCCCACAGGCTCAGCATCTGTGTCTGGCTGCAGCGAGGCCTATCCAGGGTGCATCGTGACCAGAGTCCACTTCTGCTATGATGTCAGGAACCTGATCGACTTGGATGATCAGAGGTGAGGCCTCGCTGGGGCCTGTCAGGATCGGGGCTGGGGGTGCAAGGGGAAGGTGGGGCTCTGCCGGGCCCCGATCCACAGATCCTCATTGCCTGTGCCGACAGGCGCCATGCCATGCGGGGCCGGCTCTACTACACGGCCAAGGCCAAGAAGACTGGGAAAGTGATGATCAGGATCCACCCCTGTGCCCGCCTGTGCTTCTGCAAGTGCTGGACCTGTTTCAAGGAGGTAACTGGCTGGGGTGTGGGGGTGGCAGGGAGGGGACCCCTGAGCATGTAGAGGAGCTCAAGCCTTTTTTGGGGGCCATCTCCAGGGACAGAATGGCCAATACACAGCAGGCTCCCCATGTTACTCAGACTCCCAAAGACATAGGACAGGTCTGGTTGAAGGCCACAGGTCCACCTAACCCCCAACCAATAGGCTAGAAGGGGTCACGGGACTTGGACTTCAGGGCAGCACTGGACTCCAACCAGACCAGAAAAGGAACTGCCTCCTCTCCTGACAAAGCTGTGCATTCTCTTGTCTCTTTGGGATTTACCCAAGTCTGAAACTGGCCCCCATTCCTGCTGTGCCTCACTGTGCCCAGATTAGAGGAGGGAGCGAGGGGCAGAGTCAGCCTTTGGCTGTTCTAGAAGTGGTTTCCAGGCCAAGCCCCTGCTTCCAGGCTGCTGAGTGGACAAGTCCCCCAGTCCAGCAGAGCCTTCCTGGGACTCTGGCCTCTGGCTCTGAGGGCCGCCTCTTGCCCCAGGTAGATGCAGAGCAGTATTACAGTGAGCTGGAGGAGCAGCTGACTGATGAGTTCAATGCCGAGCTCAACCGTGTGCGGCTGAAGCGTCTCGACCTGATCTTTGTCACCTTCCAGGACACCAGGATGGCGCAGCGGTGAGCACTGTGCCAGTGGCTTGCAGCCCCCTCCTAGCCCTACGGGTGGGCTTCTGCTTCTCTCCTCCATCCTCTCTGACCCCATTCCAGCCTAGGTGAGGAGACAGAGCCTTCCTCCAGCTGCCTGTTCTTAGCGCCTCCCTGCTGTTCCTGGTCAGCGCCATCTTGCTTCCCAGAGTGTGGCCATACCTGTTTACTCAGCTGCTGGGGCCCGGCTTGTCTCCCAAGATGCCCAGGCCCTGAGCTCTCACTCTGCATGTCCTTGCTTCGGTACAGAGGTGGTCAGTGTAGCCTTTGACCTCTTGGCTTCTCTTCCGGGTCTTGCTAAGAACGATAGTCATTTTTCCCTTATTGCCACAAGTGAGAGGATCAGAAGAGATAAGCGCTACTTGCCCTTCTCTCCCTTCTGTTGTAGGCCTTCCCTAAGTCAGAGCCCTACAGTCTCCCATGTTCTGCCCCAGCCCGTGGCAGCCTCATCTCAACAAGGAATAAATTAGGTCCACTCTGGAATGTTCCAGAAGGATCCTCAGGACCGCACTAAACAGAGGGGAGCTGCAGGATCAGTCTCTGAAGGATTGTGGGCCTCCTGTCTGGATGGGATCTTGATAATGCATAGCATTGTCCTCATGACCCCCCATCCCTGTACAAAAACAGTGGAACACCCTAGGTTTTAATTTAAATGATGGTGCACAATTTTACAAGTCCCTTGTACTCAAACTTCTTATCTGTGCACCGTCATTATTACTGTTTGCCCTGTTCACCTCCCATAGGATTGATAAGGGATATACATAATCTATTTAATATGTGTGTTCTATAAAGCCATGTGCCTACGTAAGATCATACTGTTCATTTCCTGAGACATCTCCACTTGGTAGCAAAGATCTGAGGCTTAATTGCTGCAGACTGCGAGTTAGAAGGTCAAAGACAGGGCTCCAACACCAGCACCACCCTCTTCAGTTACATCTCAAGGTACTTCAATTTAGGAATCTGCAGTTGCAATTCTATTAATCACCAAAGCACTGTGCCCGACACGCAGGAAGAACTCAATAACCAGGAGCTATTGATAGTAAGACGAAGCTAAATGAATACCTTCACATCAACCTCAAAGGAAGAGCACATCTCTGATGCCCCTGCTGATAGCAGCAAGGCAGAAACCGAGAACAGTGAGGCTACCTCTTTCTGGATGGTCCAGGCACCCTCACACGTCCCTTCCCTGCAGCTTTGGGGACTTAGGAGCTATCTCCAGCGGCCCTAGGATCCTGTTGTGTGACCCTTCAAGGCCTGTCCTCCCAGCCCCAGACCTCTGTGTCCTCCCCCTCCCCTCTCTGCAGCGTCCAGGAGGATTACAAGTACATCCATTGTGGTGTGCACCCCCAGCAGTCCTCAGTGACCACCATCGTCAAATCCCACTACTGGAGGGTTGCTCAGGCCCCACACCCAAAAGACATCATCTGGTAAGCTTTTTCTGTCCCTCCACTCTCCTTCAAGCTGTCCTCTGAGCTTGAGGAAGACAACTGGACAGCCTCCCTCTCCCCTGCCTTATTGCCCCACAGGGAGGCCCAGTGTCATTCAAATACAGTTCCCACTGGGCTGTCCCATGTACTTCCTGAATGTCACAGCCTCTGCACACCCTAAGCTCACCCCACGAGCATGTAATGTACCTAAAATGTCTCTCCTGCAGGAAGAGCCCAGATCCATCTGTGAGATACATTCCAAGCCATTACAAGTGGTGTGACTAAGGGGAACCCGGGGGCTCTGCAGGAAGGTCTGGGTCCATTAGACCAGGCAGCCAGGATCCAGAGCTGGCATGCAGGAAAGAGCACAAGGGCTCTCGCTAAGGGCTGGACCCAGAGTCCTAAATGCACCTCCCTCTTCCATCCTCCCCAGGAAACACCTGTCCATCCGCCGCTTCAGTTGGTGGGCCCGCTTTATTGCGATCAACACCTTCCTCTTCTTCCTGTTCTTCTTTCTCACCACGCCTGCCATCATCATCAACACCATCGACATGTACAACGTCACCCGCCCCATCGAGAAACTGCAGGTGCCTCCTTTGCTCAGGCCAGGCTGGGGGCCCCAGGGAGATGAAGGAAGCACACAGGCGAGGATGGGATGGGGAGCCCACGTACTGCCAACACGGCGGAGGTGGAGCCGTGTCGGTGCAGAATAGAGCAGCTTCCTCTGCTCTGAGTGGGATGAATGTGGGCCATTGCTCATCCTAGCGGCAGGGGCTGGAGAGGGAAGAGAGTGGAGGAGCTGCACAAAGGTCCTGGGGTGAGTTTGGGGGAATGGGCGGTCCAGTCGGTGTGGGCTTAGAGGGCTCTGTTAGATCAGGTCACTCTGGACCAGGCGGGGGTACAGAGGGCAAGGCAGGTGTGAACATCTCCGGTCACCCCAAGTTGTCTATGACTGAAATGTCCTGATCTGGTTGGGGTAAAGAAGAGTGAGATCAGTCCCAGCATAGCCCTTGGAGAGGAGGGACCTCTGGATCCGTGTCCCTCACCTCCAGACACCTGTACGCCATCCCTGAGGTTAGAGGACGCTCCTCCTGACAGGCATTGCCCTGCAGCCTGGCCCACTTCCAGTCCTGCAGCCTCAGTGCTGCTCTGATGAGCTACAAGGCCCCTCCTTCCACATAGCCTCTTCCCTCTTCCCAGCAGTACACACACACACACACACACACACACACACACACACACACACAGATATACACAGGATCAGTGAGCCACATCACTTCCTCTGCTCCTTTGCCTCCCTTCACAATAGGCCCCAGCCACACTCTCATGGGCCCCCCTGCCTTCCCTGGGGAGTCCCCTTCCCCACCCTCCCTGCACTCGCCCGCTCCTCATGCAGTGTCAGCCTTGTCTCTCTCAGCCGTTTTACATGTGAGTGGCAGCAGCTGGCTCTGCTGTTAAGAGTGAAGTCAACAGGGAAAGCTCAAGCTGCCTTTCCAGTGACCGCGGCATAGAAGGCCTTGTCCCCTGGTGACTCCACTTGACCTTGGGATGTCAGCCTCTTCCTCTCTCTGACCAAGTAGACTCCTGGCCAGGGAGGCCCCCAAGAAAGTAGCCTCAGGAGCAGGAGGCCTGCTCACAGTTTGAGCTGGAGGTGGAGAGTCAGGCAGGGGAGAAATCAGGGCAGCCTGCCAGCGGAAGGGGCTTCTTGCATTGACGTCTCTCCTGCCCCACTCCCTTCTTCCCCTGCAGAGCCCAGTCGTGACCCAGTTCTTCCCCTCCCTGTTGCTCTGGGCCTTCACAGTGATAATGCCTCTGATGGTCTACTTCTCTGCCTTCCTGGAGGCCCACTGGACCAGGTAAGTGGAGGCCCCTCCTTTCCCAGCCCTTCTCTTTCCCCCAGTCTCCCCTTCCCTATGCCCTACCAGCCTGGCACTTGGGCCTCCATCTGGCCTAAAGATTAGAACTGATAGAGGACTCTTTTGATACCCGAAGCCATCCCCAAAGACCAGCAGGAGTTTTCTTTATGGAAAGACTCCTGTTTCCAGGACTCTAGCCTTCCAGATGCTGATTAGGGCCCTAATCTAGGGGAATGAGGCCCTTCTTGGGCTACTCCTTCAGCTCCAAAGCTGTATACTGATAGTCTGGAGCTGTAGGCATGGGCCAGGTGGTGCCAGGAATTGCAGGCTGGGTGCACAGATGAAAAGACTTGCTTGAAAGAGTCAGGTAAGTAGCTGTAGCCAGAGCACAGGAGCTGACTGTCAAACTGATTGTCAACACATGTAACCCACACAATGCCAACATTTAAAACAAACGGGAGATGTTTTGTTCTTTATCCTGACTCCTGCATGGTGGCAGCTAAGTGGGTAGAAAGTATTTTTTGTATCCCAAGCAAACAACACTGCTTTGGCCTGAAGGCTGCATGGTTCTCAAAAGTCTTTTCCTTGGGGGCTGGGATAGCTCATGGTGCTGCACCTGCCTGGCAAGCGCAAGGTCATGAGTTCAATCCCCCATACCACCACCAAAAAAAAAAAAAAGTCATTTCCTGCACCAAAAGTTCCTATCATTCTAACAGGCAATAAGCCACAGGGGCTGTCCTATCAGAAATCCTTGGTGGCCTTTTCTCTGGCCAAGAGCAAGGCTTGTTTTGATTATTGAGGTTCTGTAGGGATTCCGTGTGTCACTGCTAGTGTCTCTTTGATAAAGTGATATCAAATATATGACATGTGTGTCCTTCCTGCCCTTCCTGTGCCCAGGGCAGGCATCACTAGTTGATCACACCATTCTCTCCTGCTGCTCCCAGATGCAGCACAGCTCACAGTGCTCTAGGAGAGGGCACTGGTATGCTTTACCGAGCCACTTTCCCAGCCCAGCTTTCTTCCCACCCGTCTCACACCCTGATGATCTCCTCTCTCCGTTTCCTTCCAGATCCAGTCAGAATCTGATCATAGTGCACAAGTGCTACATCTTTCTTGTGTTCATGGTGGTCATTCTGCCCTCCATGGGACTGACCAGGTACTGCACCCTAGTTATCCCCGCTCTCCCAGCCAGGCTCACCCTAGAGTTGAAACAGCCTCTTTCAGACGCCACAGATGATGGCAGTCCTGTGCCTCTCATGGGTGTAGCTTGAGCGGCCACTGTGCAGACTCAGGCCGTCGGCCAGGAATTCTGCCCTAGCTGGCTGGGAAGATGTCCTGCCAGCTGGCTCACAGTCTGAGGCACTAACACAGCCAGGGTTGTGCAGAAAGTCAGATGAAGCAGAAAGCCCCGTGGGAGGAATGGCTGGTGAAGGTTTGCTGAGGAAGGGTGGCCTCGTGCTGGAAGGCCAAAGGGTCAGGGGCGGAAGGGGCCAGCAGGAAGGTAGAAGAGGGGCAGTGTGGGTGGGCCGGCTAAAATCGAGCAAGGGTCTTACAGATTTGAGCTAGAGAGGATTGAAGAGGGGAAGCCAGGTGAAGAGAAATTGAATCCTAGGCCTCGGTTCTCGTTTTGGTCACTAAAGGGCTGGCCTTGTTCTTGCTTCTAGTTTGGACGTCTTTTTACGCTGGCTCTTTGACATCTACTATCTGGAGCAGGCGACCATCAGGTTCCAGTGAGTACGCCTGTATGTAAACCAGGGCTGGGGGTGTCCACACCGCAGGGTGCACCCTACCCTGCATCCAGCACCCGCACTGCTCACAGAGGTGTAGACAAACGTATCCGAACGCTCTCATTACTTTTGCTGCAGACTCCTTTGGCAATCTGGTAAAGCCCCCCAGGGACTCCTTTCGGAATGTCTGTGAAATCATAGTGCCGTGTGCCCTCCTGTAGCGCTAACATTTGCACAACTATGTACAGTATAATGTAAAATCCAGGAAATTGACGTTGGTACAATCCAGAGAGCTTATTCACATTTATCCAGTTTTACAGGTAGTCTGAATGCAGTATTTAAGTGCACAAAATACATGGGTTGGAAAGAAATCCAATTATACTGAAATACAGTTATCAAAATATTTTTACAATTAAACTTGTTAGCGCATCAGTAACAAAGCCATTTTAAATACAGGCAAATTAGTTACATTTTATTGTTTTAAAGATTCAGTGGGTAATGTGTGGATTGTGTTTAACATCTAGCTAGTTTTGATTTTCTTTTCTTTCTTTTTTTTTTGGTACTGGGGATCGAACTCAGGACCTTGTGCTTGTGAGGCAGGCAGCAGAACCACTGAGCTAAATCCCCAGCCCTTGATTTTCTTTTTTTATGGTTACAAGGGTTGAAAATCCCAAAGATAGGTTGTAAATGACATGAGGCTCCCATAGCACAGGCCAAGAACCAGAATTCTCCAAGGTTTTTACATTTAAACTATTATTGTAATAAAGTTTTATTTTTCCTAAGATGGACAGGTTCATCTTTGGCTAGGCAAGTAAATATCTTCAATACTCCTTATATGTGAGAAAGAAAAGATTTGTGAGTTCATGGTTCAACTAGGATGTCATCAAGACACAATAGTTTTCCCTATTAGCGTACCTTTGCAGTACCTAATGATCACAGCTCCTCGCGGGGAGTTGGCACAGGTACACAGACACCCTAAGTCTTTTTCCATCCCCTTTCCCTCCTCCCGACTTCTTTCTCCAGCTCTTGATCTCTTTCCCATTTGAGAAAGATCTATCTCCCTATTTCCTGTTACCTCGATTTTACTTTGCCCTTTATCTATATTTTAGGTTCCTCATTAAGAAAAAGTCATTTTTTAAGGAGTTCTGAAATGCATTCCTGGGCTCAGTTGTATCTTTTTTTTTTTTTTTTTCTGGTACCGGGGATCGAACTCCGGTCCTTGCGCTTGTGAGGTAGGCCACCGAACCGCTGAGCTAAACCCCTGGCCCTCTTTTAAAGGAAGTTAAAAGTTGTATAAATGGGGATACGAGGAAGCAAAAGAGACGCTTGAGTCACCAAACTTTAAAATACTTTGATGATTATATTTCAGTACGATTGGTTTTCTTTGCAGTCCATGTATTTTGTGCACTAAAGACAACATTCAGATGAATGAACGTCAGGTGAATTAATTGCTCCCAGATGAAGTTGCCCAGCTATGTCAAGCACATTCTCCTGTTGACAGGAGAACTTTAATCATGTGATTTAGCAGCATGTCTCATTCCTGCCATCGTTTTGAAATGGTGACAAGCACCACCGAAATGCTGATGAGCACAGAAGACCTAAGTAAGATGTCAGCAATGACTATAATGTGATTTCAACTGGTGACAAAGTTGCAACAGCTAACATTCCACGATTTTTTACTTTTAAAATTTTCTCTCTCTCTCTCTCTCTTTTTTTTTTTTTTTCCGGCAGTACTGGGGATTGAATCCAAGGAATGCTGAACTACATCCCGGGTTCCCCCATCCCCTCTCTATTTTGGAACAGAGTCTCACTGAGTTGCCCAGGCTGGGCTTGAACTTGTGACCCTCATGACTCTCAGTCCGAGTAGCGGCACGTACCGCCCCACCCAGCAGTTGTGCCACATTCTTAATTGAAAGAACACTAAATTTCAAATAAATATTAGTGAAAATAGAAATGTAACTTTTCCCATTTAAGGTCTTAGGCTTTCGGAACTGAGGTCAGACACCCTCGTTTGGGAGCAAGCCGTGCACAAGTCTCCACACACCCCCACCATCCGTGTCTCTGCTCAGAACTGCTTGTTAACTTCAATTGGGTCGAGGGCCTGTGTGTGCGCCCACACGCACGGGCACGCGCACAGAGCCTGCATCGCCTCACAGCAGGGAACCCTCTAAGAACTGTCTTCTTAGCTGATTAGGTTGTGCAAACATCACTGAGGGTACTTATGCACACCGGAGCGGCTTCAGCCTCCCTAGGGGACGTCGTCTTACGGGAACACCATCACATATGTGGCCATCGTGGGCTGGCATGTTGGTTATGTGGCACATGACTGTCTATGAAACTTTACTCGCACCTGTAACTCCTCCGCTGTTTTTCTCTTTGTCTCTTTCTCCTGATGTCTCCCCTTGTTCCTATCCCCTGGACTGTCACTGTCTTCTGTGCAGGTGTGTGTTCCTGCCGGACAACGGCGCCTTCTTTGTCAACTACGTGATCACCGCAGCTTTGATCGGCACCGGCATGGAGCTCATGCGCCTGGGCTCGCTCTTCATGTACAGCACCCGCCTCTTCTTTTCCCAGTCTGAGCCTGAGAGAGTCCACATCCGGAAGGTGGGGGCGGGTCCTTCCCTGAGTGCAGCCCTGCCTGGGCCTGGGAGGGGCCTGCTGCATGCACCTCTGGGTGCTGCAAGTGGCGCTTTGTGGACTCCAGGGGTGGAAGGGAAGCTGCCTCCAAGCCAAGGGGGCCGGGCGACCTCAGATGACCCCTCCCTTCTGCCCCAGAACCAGGCCATAGAATTCCAGTATGGACGCGAGTACGCGTGGATGATGAATGTCTTCACCGTGGTGATGGCGTACAGCATCACTTGCCCGATCATCGTCCCTTTTGGTGAGGCACCTCTAGGCGAACCTGGGGCTACTCGCTTAGACTGGGAGGGGGAATGGGGTCCCACAACCCCGTACCACCTCCTAGAGCAAGCCTATGGTGGGGAGGTGTTGGGGCAGGGCCAGGACAAGGGGGCTGAGGTTGGATGGCTGCTGAGACTGGATGCTTGTTGAATAAATGCACGGGTGATTGACTTTTCAAACTGAGCAGGCAAGTTCGATTGTGGGGACTCGGGGGAAGCTGCTGGCCCCAGAGGTCAGCACCACAGGGCTCTCGCAGCCTGTCCTTGGCCCTCACTACTCTCATAGCCCTGAGTCTGGTTTCTTAGGCCTGTGAGGACCATGGGCAGCTCAGGTCTTGACTGTCAAAGTGGCCACTGACTGGGTGATCGTCTTCGGCCCCTAGGACTGCTCTACCTGTGCATGAAGCACCTCACAGACCGCTACAACATGTACTACTCCTATGCGCCCACCAAACTGAACGAGCAGATCCACATGGCTGCGGTCTCCCAGGCCATCTTTGCACCTCTCTTGGGTCTATTCTGGATGCTCTTCTTTTCCATCCTTCGAGCAGGTAGGTGCTGGATAATCCTTCCTCTGCCCATCCCACTGCTCTGTGAGTTCCTCGACACCAATGCTGTTAGAGGGGAAATGAGAGACCTTGCTCGTTGGACATGGCCAGGTCCATTGACCTCTACAGGCCAAGTATGAGCATCTGAGCAGAACTTCGAGGTGAAGTAGGGTCCAAATTGTATGGATTTTGATCTGAGCAAGAAATTTCATGTTCCTTCATTGCAGGGCATCCCTCAACTTTCTCCCCTCAGTCACCCATGCCAGCAGGCAGCCTCTGCCCTTCCCCTGGGGCACTTGATCTTAACTTCTCGGGGAAGAGAAGAAGGGGAAGTATTTTCTTTACTCTCAGTCACAGTGACCTCAGTAAGGAGCCAACTCTGTCATTTGTATGGTTTATCCATTTGTCATCAGCCCTAGGTTCTTATCCTGCTAGCCTTTCCCTTCCACCTAGCAGACAATTTTTTCCATACTGCCTTTTGTCCGAGGATAAAGCACTGTATGTTCATTAGCAAAAACAGAAAAACATGAAGATCCAGTTTTAAGCCACCCATAATCATACCTGGAGCCTGATGTCTGTTCCTCCCAGACCACCTCCTAGGCAACTGCCCTGGGGAGGGGAGCAAACCGAGAGGGAGTGGGATGATCCACTCTTGCTTTACCCACTTGTGACCATCTGTGGTGTAGCCCAGAGTCCTGCATCCCGAGTTTCCCCTGAACATTCTGTGCTGAGCAATTTCCTGCATTACTAAGAGACTGAACACATGCCTTTCAACAGCTGCATTAAACGCTACCCGTTTTTGTCAGCCCTCCCCTGCTGGATGCAGAGGCTGTTTACCATTTTGTGCTATTTCTCAGTTACCGCAGTGAGCATCATTAAGCAATCACCTTTGACTGTAAAGAGTGATTTTCCATCTTCATCTAGTGAGAAAACTGCTGCCATTAAAAAATGGACTCAATATTTCCACCTGAAATGTAAATTACTTTTGAATTCTGGATTGCTTCTCAGTGCCATTTGCCCAGATAACTAAGCATGCTCACTTTGATTGGGCTTGTGGGGGAAAAGTGGGGGTCAAGGCAGAAATGGTAACCCAAAGGCACTCCCCTGGAACCATGGGTAACAGGGGTAACAAAAAGGCTATGCAGGGCCAGGGATTTAGCTCAGCAGTTCGGTGGCCTGCCTCGCAAGTGCAAGGACCTGAGTTCAATCCCTGGTACCCCCCCCAAAAAAAAGAAAAAGAAAAAGGCTATGAGGACAGGCACTGACCTGGATACTTAGGTCAATCAGAACACTTTCTTCATGGAATCCACAGACGCCAAATTCTACGCTGGCCACACAGAACAAGGCTGGTGTCACCTCAGGCTCACTGATCCTGTGGTTCTTGGAGGGGACTTGGGGAAGCGTCTCTACCCCAAGATCAGAGCTCCTATGGAGGTGCCGGGATGGTCCCTAGCATCTGTCAGCCGGGATTCCCCACCCAGTTCCTGTGCTGGGGACCCACAGCCAGCGCCTCTTCTTCTCTTCCACAGGTTACCTCCACAGCATCACCTTATTCTCACTGTCTACCCTCGTAGCGTCCATGATAATCACCTTTTTTGGCATTTTTCTGGGGAAGCTGAGGACATCCTCTGACTATGAGGTGAGCCGCCAATCTTCCCTTCTCCACGAACTCCCCTGGCCCGGAGAGACATGGCTCCGGGACCCGTTCCTGGCATAGGCTCCAGAGCAGCACAAGACCAGAGGGTCTGGCCTTTCTGATTGTGGGCTCGGTGTGCATGTGTGCAGGCTGATGCTAACTTGGGCAGGCCCCCACCAGAAGACGCTGTGCTCTCTTTTCTACCCCGATGCCTCCTCCAAACAGCGGGCAGCTGGCCTATTCCCCTACCACATGAGTCCAGTCCAGACTGAGCTGTGAGAATCATTCTGAGGGCCAGAGGGCTGAGGTAGAGGATGGAGCAGAGTCTGGAGGCAGGACGGGCAGTCAGACAGTGCCTGTACAGCTGGGGCTCCGGAGGTGATCCGCCACCGCCCCTGTGGCTCTTTGCCAGTGGGGCCCAATCTAACCTTGAAGCCACCTGGGAGAAGGGAGCCAGGCCTGGCACACAGAGCCGTGCAGCCATGCTGTGTGTCTACAGCGGCATTTCCCAAAGTGGGTGTCTGTACAGGGGCACTGGAAGGATTTCCAGCAGACCACAGCATAACATTGCGCCTTTTGTGATTATGTATTTATTTTTCTAGTTAACTATCTGCGTATGGCAGCTGGCACAGGTTTTTTAACAGTGAATTGTTTCCTTTTAAAATGAATGTATATAAAGAAAAGAAAGTTGGCTTTAAGTACTGCTGCCCTGCTGAGTTGGCAGAGGGAGTCTTAGAGGCCTCTCTTCTTTCTTCTCTTGTCTCTGTACTTGGACTCTGGGCACAGGCACCCACCACCCTTTCTGCCTGGCCTCTTTTGCTTCATCGCTGTCCAAATGGTGCTTGGATCAGCTCTGTCTTCTGCAGTTTTTCAGTTTTGGGATTTGTTTTGTTTTTTTTCCAGTACTGGGTTTGAACCCAGAGCCTTTGCACTGTTATATTGCCAACCTGTTATTTAGTTATTTTAAAATTTTGAGATAGGGTCTCGCTAAGTCACTACGTAGCCCAGGTTGGGCTCAAACTTGTAATCCTCCTGCTTCAGCCTCCCAGAGTGCTGGGATCACAGGTACCCAGCTAACTGTGTCTGGTACAGTGAGGTGGCCATCCGAGTGTCACTCTAGGGCAGGAAGGTGGCAGAGAACATAGAGCAGATTCGTTTGGCACTCCTCCCAGAACAATGGAGGGGGCATCCAGCCAGAAACAGGTGTCAAAGCAGCCCTACCTTTCTACCCTAATTGCAGCTTTGCTTACTTGCTTGGGAATAGCACATTCCAGAGGGATCCAGCCTTCTCTCGGTTGTTTGCAGAGCTGAGGTCTGAAAAGACAAGAGAGAAGTTGAGTGCCAGGGTGGCCCGGGCCCAGGTGTGGGTGCAGCAGGCCCTGGGTGTGGAGCAAGAGCTGTGCATGCCATGACCCACCTGCTCACTGCCTGTCTCCCTGCTGCAGCCGGAGGAGGAGACCCAGACGGTGTTCGACATGGAGCCCAGCAGCACGTCCTCCACCCCCACCTCCCTCGTGAGTCTTGCCTTCACCCTGGGGACAGATCAGAAGGGCAGGGCCTGAAGGGCGGGGTCAATCCAGTGATGATGTGGGGGCATCTGAGTTCACTGCCCACTCTGGGATTGGGGAGGAGCCGGCCCCAGGCTCCCTCTTCTGACGCAGCAGGACTTGGCCCAGGTCCAAACGCTGCCGTGGCCCTGGCTGAAGAGCCAGGAGCGAAGACCTGACACTGCCCCAGCAGGCACTACAAGGCCAAGGCACTTACAAAGGAGGCAGCCAAAGAGGAAGTACGGGGGGAACTCGATGTCAGAGACCACTTTCGTGTAGACGCAGGGGCGTGCTGGGGCTTGGCCTCGGGACTCCAGGCTGCCTCCAGGGCGCAGGCGCAGACCCAGCTTCAGGGAGCTATTGGCGACACCGAATGGTAAGGCAG